TCACTTTTTCAGACACGTTTTTTAGATAGCTCCAAAATCGATTTTTTGTGGCTGTTTGTACAACAGCTGTATTTTCAAAATGAATCAACATTCAGAGCCGAGACATTTTTCATTTTGTAGAGAAATGTTTAATCTACTTAATTATCTAGTTGTAATTTTAGATTATTTTCTAACTTTATTACCATAGTTCTTTGAAAAACAGCGAAAAAAGGAGACCGTTAGCTGAACAAGCCGTAAGATGGTATGCTAAAGAGAGATATGTAGTGATTCCAATTCTTTTTCACTCAACAATAAAATGAATATAATCATATTACAATGATTCTCATTATGCACCGTGGAGATTTCGACAAAATTTATGAAAAACAATGTTTATTTAGACACGTTTTTTAATTACTTACATTTCCAACCATTTTTTTTAAGATCAGTTTGTACGTTACAAAGTTTTCCCGATATTTTGCATTCAGTATTTTTTGGGATGAATAAAGTTTTCAGATTTCCAATATAATCTCCCGGTACAAACTTTCATTCCTTGTTCTTCCTCTTTTAGAGGAATTCAAGAGAGGAGTGATACAAAAGACAAAACGAAAAAAAAATTTTGCTGTGTTTTTTGAATCACTGTCACCTTATGAAGTTTTTTCTGCTGAGATAAACCGTAATTGTTACACGAGATACCTGTACGCGTCTGGTGAAAGTTAAAAATCGCGCACCATTGACAACATCATTTCGTATCTACTTATTGTCAATCGAATTTTAGCTTAGTATTTTCCTTTAGACTCTCAACTTATTCATTGCAAAATCTCCATGATAAAATTGAAGTCTAATTTATTTGATTCTAAGTTTAGAAAGACCATTTCACGAAACGATCGTCTTTTATGTCTAAGTTTTGAAAAGAAGTTGTTTTCATTTAACTTTTTCTCCTATTTGTTGCAATAATTTTTAGCTTTTGAGCATATGATTAAATAGAGAAGTCTTTTAAGATCGCAATGATGTCACCTTATAAGATAAATTATAATTTAACTTTCACTCATTCTTGAAGGAGAAAATAGAATGCCAAAAACATAGTTATTTGTAAAATCCATGATTCCGTAACGATGATATTTTAGCTGTTTAAGCATTAATTTCGGAGCTATAAAAAAACATTTTTTTTTCAATGGATAGCCTATGGACTTTTGTACAACGTTGCCGCAAGCAAAATTTTTCATGTAAAGAATAGAGATTAGTTGAGTTTTCGACAACTTTTAATTGTTTCGGAATGACTATTCCATTTTAGTAATATTTCTCTTATAAAACTCGCACTATACAACTTAACCGAAATTTTAGAGCTTGTCGAGTACATAGTTAGACAGATTTTATAAGAAGCATCTTATCTTTTAAACTGACTGAGAAATTACAGTCAGAAGCAGAAAAAACGTGTTTCCGTTACGATTATTTTGGCCTTAGGTTTTCTATCTATCCACTACGTCAGAATCAAAAAGAAAGATTTATCAGTCGAATTTCAAGTATAAAACATCTTCTCAAGTTTCAACTTAAATAATTTCATTTTTCTCCTCAATCACTTTTCGCTAGTTATTATAAGATAACAGTTCTGATGTGATGGATTACAAGAATTAATTATAGTATAATTACAAGCAAAAGATAGATAAGACTTATGAGATAACCTTTTTCTGTGACTAGTCTCGAGTGCGTCTCTTCAAATGAGTCGGAATTCGCAACTATCTCACAGGACTCTATACTCTTATTCTATTCATTGTGTTTTCTAGATCCCATGGTCATAACTCACATTGAATATTTGACAATTTATTGTTGGTTGAATATATCTGAATTAATATTAATTTTAAACAATTCACCTTATTTAAAATTTCTCAATGTTACCTTATATGATTTACAGACGTTAATTATTAATGATGATGTATATAAAATATATTGCTCATTACACTATTTACATGTAACAATTCGTGACATTCCATTTGATTTTGTTTATTTATTATTAAAACATTTACCACAATTACGTTCATTATCAGTTCAAGGTTCATGTAAAGATTTAGATTTTATTGATGGTGATTATTGGCGTGTATTATTTGAACAAAATTTATTTCTTTTATCAAAATTTCGTTTAACTATACGTATACGAACGAAAAAACGTGTTAATTTAATGGAATATGAACAAAAATTTCAACATGTCTATTGGCAAAATAATAATAAAAAAAATGGTGGCGATTATAGTTGTGAATGTTGGATTAATTTAACTAATAAAAAATGTGTACTATGTTAGATATAAACACAACAATCATTCCTTTCTCTCTGAGCATATGAAGATAATTTTTTTGCAATTGTATGTTAATAATAAATCTGAATTTTTTACGTCATCAGTAATTGATTGAATTTGATAAAAAAAAACAAGCATTTCCCAGCAAAAATATGACATGATTTTCTGAAAACATTTACAGTAACCTTATCCAACTTTTGATAGACAAGATCATATTAGATACTATTCTATAGTACTTCATTGTTGTACAAATAGATGATCAAAGTTGGAAAAATGGTTTCTATTTGACAATGCTATTATCACTTCATCTTGTATCATTCGATAGAGTATAAGAAGACGATTCAAATGCCTATATTGCCATCCAGTTATTGCTTCGCGTAGTATAAACTCTGTATCGAACAAAAATATATCATTTTTTGAAAAAGATTGCTTTTGAAAATAATTTCCATAGACTCTTCTTTATATTCTAGAGTTTCCGTTGAAAATAAAACATTTTCTATCATCTAATTTGAATTTCATTTGAATTCATTTCATTTCTATTATTTGTGTCGACATTTTGACAATACAATTTGTCATTTTCAAGAAAAGTAAAGATTGTATTGAGGTATGTTTTACGTAAAAAGAGAAGTAGAAATATAATATTTGTTCTTTATACACATGTATGTACTAGATAGAATTGTACATTTACCTGGCTCATGACAGCAAAAGAAAACCGAGTAAATACATAAATACGTAGAAGTGAAAAGACGTAATAAACTACCGTATACTCTATCTCTAATCTCTGCTTAGGGATGCAGCAGTTTCGATTAACTGGAATCAACAGAAACTGAAAACTGAGAAAAACTGACGTCAGTTTCGTCAGTTGAACTGAAAACTCTAATTTTGTTCAAGTTAAAGCGAATTTTGAAAGATGTTGAATCCATTTCTGTAAGTATCTCAAAAATCTTGTTAGTTTTCATCAGCTTCAATTTCGATCAGTTCTAGCTTGTTGAAAACTGAAACTGGTGCATCTCTCTCTATGATAACAAGAGAATAGAAGGAAGAGTTATTAATAAAAGAGTTTTCAGCAATTTCGTTGTTTCAAGAAAACACTATGCGTACGTTTTAAAGGCACTTCGACATGATATTTGAGATCATGCTCTTAAGTCCAGGCATGCGCAATCTATATTTTATCCTTTTTCTCAATCAATTGACTATAAAGTACAATATATTAAAGTTTTTTGACAACTTAGTTTCTCAGAATAAATAATTTACTATACAATGAAACATGATGAAACTGTAAACTCTTTTCTTCTTGCTGTGATGGCTACTTGAAACGACGTCATAAACTGGTAATAACTGAACTGATGCCGATCGTAGATAATGAATGAATGAGGATAAAAAGTACAGTCATACCTTATTTTGTAGAGAAATTTTTGAAAAAGCTTATCTAGAAGCTTATCTAGAAAAAAATGACTAGAGAAAATAAATTATATTGACGCTTTTATCTTTCTAATGACACCGCATGGTTGGTTAAGATGAATGATGATTAAAAGACGGGCTTTTTATTCTGCTGATTTATTCATTTCTTTACACTAAATGCTCGTCTGTCTTTCTGTACTGAAAATTCTTCTAATCTTTTTAAAGTTACGTTAAAACATAATGGCTTCTAATAAGGATAATCCAACACCGAATAAAAAAGTGTTGCGAAAGTTTTTTGTTGATCTGAAATATGATCATGAAGAAGATACGTAGAGTACAATATGCACGGTTTGTCGAAATGAACCGTCAGTTTCGGAAAAATCGAGTTCTGATAATAAAAAGCTGTATGTATTTCTGATAGAAAACAATGTTGGGACTGGTATCGGACTTAAAACTTAACGGTCTAGCACTGATTTGGACCAAGTCTCCAAAGAACTTGGGCTTGACTCGGACTGAAAAACACATTTGAAAAGCGTCGATTCATAGTTATACTATTTTGCTCCAGCTGAAACTGCGTTATAAACTGTTTTTTAATAATCTCTAAAAAAAAAGCGTACCTCCTTAAACCCTATAAAAAGTATTTAGGAGAGTAAAAGGTTTACGAAAATGACTATTAAACTCTGTTAAGTTTAGTAGTGTCGTTGAAAAATCCTTTGGGTTATTTAAAAACCAAAAGGTAATTTTTTCGTATCGTAGTAGTAACTGATATCATGAAGGCGGTTGATTT